AAAAAAAAAAAAAAAAAAAAAATACAAAATTTAAGTTTATAAGTTTATAGATTTGTATAAATAAATATAAAATAGATAAAAGAAATAGATATAAATTATATTTTTTTAATAATAAATCTTTATTAATTATATTTTTATATTTATTGTTTTCTTCTTTTTATATGATACTGATGCTAATAGCATCTTGTAATTTTATAAAAGTTTTTTTCAATACTGAACCTTTTACATTATCAAAATTTATCAAGATTACAATAATAATTTCAAATATTGTAACAATTTATATTTTTACTATTTTAAATGACATTTTTTCTACTTTAATTATTTTTTAAAATTTAAAATATATAATGATAAAAAAAAAAAAAAAAAAAAATTATATAAACGGAAAATTTTTGTTTATCCCTTTTTAAAATTCTGAGAATATATAAATAAAATAACTGATTTTTTTTTTTTTTTTTTTTAAAAAACTACAAATCTATAAAGTGGCAGTAGCAATTTTATTCCTAATAATACATATTTTTATACAAAACTTTCAGTGTTTTTTTTTTTTTTTTTTTTATTAAATAGGTTACAACTATTGTTGATTTATATTTATTTTTTTTTTTTTGTGTAAATAATAATTATAAATAGTCTTTCATTTTTTATTTTTTTATTCGTAATTTTAATAAAATTATAAAATTTAAATAAATATCTTAGAGAAAAACAAATTTTACGTATAAAAAAAAATTTTAAATGAATATAAAAAAAAGTATTTGTAAATATTTAAATTTTTATTATATATTTATTAAAAGTGATCATAATAATAAGAAATTTCATTTTATAAGGGAAAACACAAAAATGACAACTATAAAACCAAACTATTTTATATGTATACCATTGAATAATGAAGTTATATGTAATGAATTAGTAAAAATACAAAATCATATAGTTATGAAATATGATAAGTTAAAAGAATGTTCAATAGAAAAAAACAAATTTCATATCTCTCTTTTAATTTTATATATTAAAAAATCACAAATAGAATTATCAAAAGAAGCTTTTCATGAAGCTATGGATGAAATAAAAAAGATAGAACATGAAAAAATTTTATTCGATAAATTAGACACATTTCGTAATGATGTTTTGTATTTAAGTCTAAAGGAAAGCAGTAATGATTATATTATCAATATGATCAATGTTTTGAAAAAATCATTTGAAAAAAGAGATATAAAAATAATATATAATAAAACAAAGAATAAAAATAATGAGAAGCAAAAAAAAAATGATAATAAAAATGAAATTAAAAATAATTTAGATAAAAGTGACATAAATAAAGATAATCCAATTAAGAATAACATAAATAAAAATAGTAATGATACTGAAAAAATTACTCCTCATTTAACTATAATGAAAAATTCTTATATGAAAAAGATTTATGTTAATAGAAAACCCCAAATTTTTGCCGATTATTATTCAGATTTCAATTTAACAAATTTATTAAAAGAACATTTTGTTGCTAATAAAATTCAATTTCTTGAAATGAATATAGATTCGTTTACATCTTATTATAAAATATTGTCTGAATGTAATCTTTTATAACTGGATGAATAAAAATATACAAAATATTTAATTGGAAATTTTGCACATATAAATATATTCCTTTATTAAAAAAATATTTCTATATTATTTCATAAATTCTATAAATATTAATTTCTATTTTTTATTTATTGAAAATAAAAAAGCAAATTAATAAAATGTTACAATTTTTGTTTTGTTTTTTTTTCTATTCTATTTCTATTTATTTGAAAAAATTGTATTAATAAAATAATACATTAATATATCTTTAGAAATATGTTTAAATGGTTAATTTATTTAATAGTATTTCAAGAAAAATTATATTTTATTTTTTTTTAATTAAAAATCATAAAAGAAATTAATATTTATATTTATTTTTAACTACAAAATTATGTAGAAAATTTTTTAAGTAATGCTAATATTTATATTCCTTTATATATATATGAAAAAATTTAAATAATGAGAATTATTTCTAAAAAAAAACAGTTTATTATGTGTATGTACATTTATTGTCCACTATGTTTTACTTAACATATGAAATGTTATCTATACTATTATGTAATTTTTTTTTAGAACAGATTTTTCTACTTATCTATTTTTTTTCTTTTTTTTTTTTTTTTTTAATATATTATTATATATAACGGAAATATTTATTATTTATAGCTATTTTTTTTTTTTTTTTTCTTTCTTTCTTTTTTTTAGTTGAAATGTTTTGGATATTTTTTCTTTTTTTTTTTTTTTTAAATAAAAAAGTGAATAATGAAAATGATATATCTGTAAAAGGAAGCTTAACAGTTTCTAATTTAAAGATATCATCAAAAGACAAGAGAGAAAGTGGAATATTATTCATGAATGATGAAATGGAATATAAATTAGGATTAAATACAAAAAATGAGTTGATAATTAGTAAAAAAAATAAGCCATTAATAAATATAGATGAACATGATAATTTAAATTTTTTTAATCCTGATTTAACAGTAAAATCATTAAATGTACATGGAGTTTTTAAAATTTTGAATATCAATCAATTTCAAATGATAGTGCATGAAGATTTTTCCAATTCTTCAAATACTAAAGGATGGATTGGAGAAAATTTTGATAGTTTTACATCCATATGTGGTGGCATAAATTTATTAGGTGGTTATGGAAAATTATCAAAAGGTAAAATTTATAAAATTTTTGAAAATATTCCAACACATACTCAAGTACGTATTAAATCAAATTTTCATTTTATTGATAATTGGAATAATCAAACAGCTTATATGAAAATAGGAAGAGATGAAAAAGAAGAATTTTTTTTTGTATGGACAGATAGTCATAGCCAATTGAATAAAGAAAACTCAATAAATATTTGTGGTAACTCAACTGGTGAATCGAAATTTTTTTCTTTAATTGATATAATTGTACCACATAATTCCAAAAAATTGATTGTTGAATTCGGAACTAATATTCAAAACCATGAACCAAATAATATCTCATGGGGAATCTCAAATTTTCAAATATATATCATATAAATATATATAATTTTTTTATATAAAAAAAAAAAAAAAGAAAAAAAAAATTTTTTAAATTATTTCACAAAAAAATAGAAGAAACTTGAATAAAAAAAAAAAAAAAAAAAAAAAAATTGGCATACATATATTTATTTATTCATTAAAAAGAATTATAAACAATATATGTACTTAAAAAAACAATTTTATAAAAAAAAATTTTTGTTTAAAAGAAATTATCAAACTCCTGAAAATTTTGCTTACACAAAATAAAAAAGAAAAATAATATGTACGAGAAATATTATTTGTTAAAAAAAAAAAAAAAACAAAAACAAAAAATATTAAGAAATTGATTTAAAAAGAAAATGTTTAAAAATATATGTTCACATATACTGTATTAATTTATACAAAAAAATAAGATACATTAATTGATACAAAAAAAAAAAAATAATGTAATAAATTTCATATATACATATATATATATATATATATATATATATATATGTTTTTCTTTGTTATAATAGTATCTTATTAAAATTTCTTCGAATGGTTCATAGAAGGTATTTGAGATAAAGACTTTTATATATATTTTCTTTTGTAAAATGAATAAAATTGCCATATATTTTATTGTCTTTTTATAATATTCAATAATAAAAAAAAGGATTTTTAAAAATTAAAGATTAATTTAATGGCTCAATTTTTAATTTTTTATTTCCAGCTCTTAATCTCGAACCAACATTTTCTCCTGAGTTGAAAAAAAAAAAAAAAAAAAAAAAAAAAAGTGAGTTATAAAATTTTAAGTTAGCTTCCAATAAAATTGAGTTTATAATATTATACCATCTAATACAAGAACTATTCTTCCTAATGAAACTGGATCAGTTAATTCTATTCTTTTCCATGCTTCATAAAATGCAGATGCTAAAATAGCTACTAAAGTCATAGTTGTAGTATTATAAACTGCTTGTGATTTTCCAGGAACATTTCTTAAAACTATTAAAATTTCATTTGTACATAAATTTAGTAAGCATTTTCTTGCTGCTCTTCTTAAATCTATTAATTTTAATGTATCTGGTAAAAAATTTTTAGAATTTGATGGTAAATCTTCTAAAAAATTTATCCACATATCTTCCTCTCTTTTCCATAATTTTACATTTAATTCCATTGTATCTTTTACAGAAAATTCTAACAATACTTGTAAAGAAGATAATGGAGTTCCTAATTGGCATGAAAATAACCATGGAGCTAATAAATTATCATCATGTTCAATTGTTTGGTGTATTTTTTTTTCTTCTTTTTTTTCTCTTAATTCATTATCAATTATATCACTAACTTCTAATTTTTCTAGTAATAGTAACATTTGTTTTTCTAATCTTATTATTCGCCTTTCTAAACGAAATCTATCTGCATTTTAAAAAAAAAAAAAAAAAGACAATAAAAATAAAAAATATTTTTAAAAGAAAAAAAAAATATTATTTGTAATGTATTTCCATCATGTCCTTCTTTTCTTTAACCTTTTTCTGAATTTTGTAGTTTATCATTTAATTCTTTTACAATAGTTAAGAGTGGATCATATTTAGTAACTATAAATGTTTGTAAATCACTATTAAAAAGAGCATTGTTTTGACTAGCAGTCATTTTAAAAAAAAAAAAAAAAGTTAAATTGTTTTAGAAAATTATTTTTCGTATACATGAATATATATTTTATTATCTTTTTTTTTTCTATTTTATACCTATAAAATTTATTTTATTTTAAATATTTATATTTTTATTATTTTATTTTAATTATTTTTTTTTTTTTTTTTTTATCTTTTTTGATACATTTAAAAGAAAGTAATATAAAAAAAAAAAAAAAAAAAAAATTCACTTCAAAAACTAAAATGAGAAGAGTTGTATTTTTTCATTTTAAAAAAAAAAAAAAAAAAAAAAAAAAAATGTATATTTTACATTGAATATATAAAAATTAATAAAAAAATTATTTTTATAATTTATAATTAAAAGTGTAATGCATAATTTTTATATAAAAATTACGCATATTTTATTTTTAAATTTAATTCATTAGAATAGATAAAAAAAAAAAATGTTAATTAAAATTATATTCTAGTATGATTTCTTTTTTATTTTATTGTTTTTTTTTTTTTTTTTTTTATATTATTCTTAATGTTTTATATCAATTATAATTTGATTTTCTAATAAAAAAAATATTCATTTATTTTATTTAGTTCAGAGGAATATTATTATTTTTTTTTATTTTATTTTTTTTTTTTTTAATGTTAATTCTTCAAATTATACAAAAAATTTTTTTTTTAATAAAATACAACTTCATTTTAATATTTAAGTATGACATAACTAAAGCAAAATTAAAATATTTTAAATGTATGTAAAAACTAATATATACAATTTTTAAATATATATATATATATATATATATTTATATCTCTATTCAATAATAAAATGAAAAAAAAAATGACATATATTAAAAATGTTAAGGATTTTATATTAAATATAAAAAAAACATAAAAAAAAAGGTTACGAATATATCGTTAAATTTTGTTTTTGCTGATTTAAGAAAAAAAAAAAAAAAAAAAAAAAAAAAAAAGAGAAGATATATCTTTTTATCCCTAGTAAAATATGATTGATTTAAAAATTGAAGAATTGAGAAATTCTAGTGAAATTGATCATTGTGAAAGTTGTAATTTATTAAATGAAAATAGTGTAGAATTAATTATTATAAAAAATAAAGATTTATATATTTATAAATTTGATAAAAAGAAAAAAAAAAATTATTTAATATATGAAACGAAATTAAATGGAAATGTTATAAAATTAGTTGTTTTAAAAAATGTCTTTTTAAATAAAAAGAGCAAATGTATTAGTGGAATTTTATTAATTTACAAAAATTTGCATTTTATCATTTATAAATATAACAAAAGTCTAAATACATTAGTTGTAATTTTAAAACATAATTTCACAAAGGAAATAAATTTTCAATCACTGTTTTATAATCTTCCACACTCAATTCATTATACCCACAAATATGAAAAAACAAAAAGAAGAAAAAAAAAAATAAATAAAAAGATAAAAAAAAATTACAAAATATCAGGTTGTTTTGATATTTTAAGTAAGAAGAAAAGAGAAAAAGACAAGAAAATTAATGTAATATATAAAAATAATAAGATATTAACTTCTGATAGTTCTATAGAAAAGTTTTATAATGATTATGATAATGAAAAAAAAAATCACGAAAACGAATTTTTAACAGATTTTACTAAAATATATGATAATCAAGAAAAAAATATTTTGAACAGATATTCTATGAATTTTAAAAGTAAAATAAAATCAAAAAAGATAAAGTCTAATTTTTGTGAATTTTGTATTACCTTTTCTTATGATTTTAAAACCATTTACACTATTTTTTATACTACTAGAAAAAGAAAAATTCAAGAAAAAATTATTAATAATGAAGTTAATATCAATTATTTTTCTTATGATTTGTATATAGATAATATTAGCAAAATTAACCTAGAAAATTTTTATAAAAATTTTGTTTTTATAAAAAAAATATTTTTTCATGATGATAATGCACATATATTAATTCAAAATGATGCAGTAAAAAAAATAAAATAAAATAAAATAAAATAATAAATAAAAAAATAATATATATATGTAATATATCTTTCTATAAATTTATTCATAATTATTGAAATAATTTAAATATACATATATTGAAGATTTTATTTAACTAATTATTTCTTGTTTTTTTTTTAAAAATTTTTAATTTATTACAAACCAAATATAATAGTATCCTATTTTTATTAAAAATTTTTTTTTTTTTTATTTAGAAAAATTATGATATATGTTTTACATGAATATATATTACATATAAGAATACATATTTATAGGTATATATATATTATTATTATTATTATTATTATTATTATATATATTTTTTTTTTTTTTTTTTTCCTTTTCAGATCAATATAGGTCATACAAAATTAGAAGAATTAAATTTAAAATTGTTAATTATAAAAATAGAAAAAGATAAATTTGACTTTGTTAATTTAATAAAAAGTTTACCTAATGATTTGTTAGATATTATTATAGTGAATAATATTCTTATATGTTTGTGTTATGATTATGTATATATTTTAAATTTAAATAATTATAAGAAAGTTGTTTATTTTTTTAATAAAAGTTGTTATATTAATAACATTTTTCATTTTTTAAAAAATAATTGTTTGTTTTATGATCATTCATATATAAATACGAATTTTAAATTATTTTATTTATACAATAAAAAAAACAAAATTTTTATCTTAAATAAATATTTTATAATTGAAGGAATAATTTCAAAAAATGTTAATGATTTAATAAATTTAATTAAGTGGGATATTACTTATACATTTAATTCTAATTTAAGTAAATCATCATTTTTTTCATTGGATAAAAATATTTATTTTTTATGTTGCTATGATGGATTAAATGGAAATTCGGATATTGATTTGCTAAAAAAAAGAGATAAAAAAAGATTAAAGATAACAAAAAAAAAAAGGAGTAAAAGAAAAAGAGTATCAATAAATATATTCTATCCTTTAAAAAAAAGTAGACATGATAATAAGTTTTCATTATGTGGAAATTCAGAAAATTTAAAAGAATCAGAAATACAAAATATAAAAAATAACGATTCAGTAGTATGTCAAAAAATTATAAAAGAAAATGAATTTATAAAAAAGGAGGAATTAACAAAAAATGATAAATTAATAAAGAAAAATAATGATAGTAAAGGTAAGAATTTTAGGAAAAATAATAATTTTTTATTTGATTTACTAAATTACTTAAATAAAAACATAAGTATAAATGAGTGTACAAAAGAGTTAAATAATAAAAAATATGATTTGTTATTTAAAAAATACAAAAAAAAAATAAAAATATTAGAAAATAATTTTTCGAAAATAAATGCACAGGGGATAATTGAGTATGTTTCTCCTTTATTTATTTTAAAAAAAAAAAAAAATAACAAAAATAAAAAATGTAAAAAAATTAAGAATTTAAAATTTTATTCAGTTGATAAAATTCAAGTTAAAGGACTAATAACAGATATATGCAAGTTAAACGAAGAAAATAATTCAATAAATAAAAGTATTTATTTTGCTGTTATTGGTAATAAGAAAAACAGTACAATACAAAAGGTATTTTTTGAAATCCCCTTAGTGCTAAAATTGAATACTTTTTTTTCAGATTTTAACATAAAAAGTGTTTGTTGTACAGATAAAAAAAACAATTCTATTTTTCAATATGTTATAATAAATTTAGAAGAAAAAGCAAAAATTGAAGAAGAAAATAACGAATTAAAAAATTTTAAATTAAATAATAATAATTTAAACAATGATGAATTAAAAGAGTCATTGGAGGAAAATGAACAGAATAAAAAAAATATTTTATTATGTATTAAAAATATTTCATTTTTAAAAAAAAATTATAAATGGTTAAATTGTGATTACCATGATGATAATAATTTAAAAACTATTCAATCAAGAGAATTTTTAGAAAAAATACATGAAGATGTTAAGAGTAACATTAATAAAAATTTATTAAATGATAATGTTAATGATATAAATTATTCAGATGAATATAACTTTTATGAGAAATGTTTTTCTACTCAAAAAAAAACAAAGGAAAAAATATTAAACAATGATTTGAATGATGATCAAATAAACAACTATAATGTTAATAAATACACGAAAGTTATTTATATGATTAAAGAAGAAAAAATGAATGAGGAAGATTTTTCCTTAAATTGCATTGAAAAAATAGAAAAATGTTTACTCTTTTTTAAGAATTCTAATTTTAATTATTTTAATAGTAGAGATGTACGAACATATTTAAAAAAGATATATATTCCATATATGATGTATCATCATGTTCATCAAAGCGAAACACACCATTTCAATGATGATAAAGAGTTTTTTTTTAAAAATTTAAGGGAAAATAACTTTAATATATATAGAGAAATGAAAAATAAAGAACGCAATTTAAAAAAAAAAATTTTGAAATTTTTTTTAATTGAAAAAGTTAAAAATACTTCATTAAATTTAAAGGAAAATTCTATAGGATTACTTAATTTTAAACAAATTCTAATTCAAGTGTGCAAAAATGAAATAAATTTATTTTTTAATAAAAACACATATATTTGTCTGAAAAACATAAATATACAAAATAATATAAAATCATGCAAATTAATAAAAGAATACCTCATTCTATTACATGAAAACAATAATTGTTCTATATTTTCATTTAATAATGATATAATAAATAATTTATTAAAAATAATTATAATGGTAACATCAGTTTATAATATATTCACGTTACATTGCTTATCATATGATAATAAAGAAGAAAATTTTGATATATTAAGTTTTGGTAAATTTTTAAAAAAAACATTGTTAAAAAATTGCTCTCTTTACGAAAAGGAAAACGTTGTAAATATATTTAAAATAAAAAACGTTTCCTTGCTTCATGATTTTGTAAAAAGTAAGAATGTTGACGTTGATAATTTTTTTACTTATCATACAAGCTTAAATAATATCCGTTGTATTTCTGTTATAAAAAAAAACAAAGAATGTTTTTTATGCTTTTTAGATAATTCAAATAACTCTTTTAATATATTTGATATAAAAAAAAAAAACTTAATTTTTCAAAGCAATTTTTTATTAAATGTACCAAAATATATTTATAATTCTTTAAGGAAGGAAAAAAATGATAAAAAAAAAAATATTGAAAAGGATAAAGAAAAATTGTATTTTTTGAATATATATAATAAGGAAAATATAATAAATATTTTATTTTTTAAACTGGATAAAGATTATATATTAATAATATTTTTAACAGGTAGACCAATATTAATATATAAGACATTCTTTTACATAAACAAATTTAGTAATTTAAAATTTAAAATAGTTATTCATAAGTATGTGCAACCTTTAATTAGTAATATACATTTTTTAAAAGAAGAAAATGATAAAAATATAAATAAGATGGTTATTATTTCTAGCAAAAATGAGGAATTAAATAATGGTTGTTATGTGTATGTGGATGAAAACAGTTTTATGTATTCAAAAATGAACAGAAAAAAAAAAAAACAAATATTTAATAAATGCAATAAAACATTAAATATAATAAAGAAAAAAACTATTAAAAATTGCATAATATTATACCCATACTTTGATATGAAGAAATTAATTTTAAATAATTATGATGATAAGAATATACAAGAAATGCTTTGTGAAAATTTAATAAAAAAATATAATACAAGCTTTCCAATTTTATTTTTATCAAGTTATAAAGGAAAATTATATATTCATAATTTAAATAAAGAGAAATTACAAAATTTGAGTAATGCAAATAATGAAAAAATATACAAGTTCAATAATATAACCGAAATTTTGAATGGATTAGGTGAAAATAAAAATGATAATGTCTTACATATGGATAATATTAAAGGAATAATAAAAATAGATAACAATGAATTTTTAAGTTTTTCTAATCATAATTTACATATGTTTAGTATAAATGATTATGAATATAAAAATGTCCATAATTATTATGATGAAACAAAAGAATCAAAAAATGATATGCTTCAATCGAAAAATAATAGCCTATTTTCAGAAAATTTATTTTATTGTAATAAAAATTTTTTGAAAATTAAAAATGAAATACTTTTTTTAAAAAAGCCTAAGGTGATAAATTTATCATTTAATGATGATCTTATATTAAAAAATTTTATTAATTATCCATATATTTATAAAATGTCTATATCTAAATTTGAATATATTTTAAAAAAATCAAAGAAAAAAAAGAAAAAGAAAATGAAAGAAATATTGCATAAAAATAATAATAAAGATATAGAAAAAGAAACATCAAATGAGATAAATTTTTCTGAAATTGAAAATAAAAATTTAAATAATAATTGTTGCATACAAAATAATGAACAGGATCAGTATCAAAAAAAGCAAAAATATAAGACAACTTTTGGAAAAGTTATATGCGTAATTTTTCGGATTAAATACGATGAATATTATTGTTTAAAAAAATTATTGAAAAAAAGAATAAATATTCAAAAAGATGAACTAAAGAATAATAGTTTATATAGAAATGAAGAAATACAATGTATTCCAAATGCTTACTTAGATGATTGTATTAATAATCAATATACACATAAAATAAAAAGTTTTTTATCCATTAATATAGGAGAAGAAACAAATGTACTGCAAGATGAGACTATAATAAGAAAAAATAATAAATTAATTCAATCAGTTAAAACACATACTAAATATTATAAATTACTATTATTCCATGAAAATAGTAAAAATGCTTATGGTTATTACATTTTTGAACATAGTGAAGAGATTCAATGTGTTTCTTTTGGATGTTTAAATAATAAAGAATACATATATGTTAGTACAAGTTTAAACATCAATGAAAGAATTGAAACACAAGGTAATATTTACGTACTCGATTTCAGTGATATATTTTTAAGATATAATGAAAATGATATCATGAAAAATTCAAATGGTGACATAAATAATGTGTATTTTAATAATATTGAAAGTAATAATAATAGTAAAGATGCAAATAATAGTAATGACGATTGTAATAGTAATTACAAATATGAAAATAAGAAAAATTCTGCACATAATAATGATAACTCTGAAATGATACACATAAGTAATGAAAATAATTTGAATGATGTAAAAAAAAAAGGAAAATTAATTGTATACTTAAAGAAAACATATAACAGTTCTGTAACTCAAATACACCCTTTTTACTTTTATAGTGATAATAATAATAGCAAAAATTATAAGAATAATATAAGAAGTGATAATATAGAAAATTATGACATAGAAGAGAAGTATAGAGATAATAATTTAAATAATTGGAATAATGGTAAAAATAATAATAATTGTTATTGTAATATTCTTCATTGCATTAATTCTAAATTGTATATTCATGAAATAAATGATAATGATTTCACAAAAGGTGCTTTTATTGATAATAATTTTTATATTAGTGATATAAAAATAGTGAAAAATTTTATCATAATTGCAGATTTGTATAAAGGCATATATATAAATATGTATAATTATGAACAACAACATGATAGTAGAAGTATTATATCCATATCTAAAAACTTTTACAGTCATAATTTAAATATATTATGTTGTCATTATGTTATTTATGATTCATATATTTCAATAATTGCAATGGACATATATAACAATTTCTTGATTTTTTCTTATAAAAATTATCAAGATATAGATAATCTATATATATTTAATTATTTTAATTTTAATAGAAGAATTATTAAATTTATAAATGCATTAAATAAAAATGATAAATCAAATTCTGTCTTATCTATTTCTAATGATGGTAGTATCCATTTATTTTATCCATTAAATAACAAATTATTTATTTTTTTTAAAGAAATATATAAAATTATAAAAAAATATATTTTTCCAAATTTAGCTTTAAATTTAAACACACATTTAAAACCAGATTTTTTTATTCAATCTATAATTTTGAATCTTCATAAAAGAACTGATAGTTTTTTAGTTAAAAATATATTATTTGATGACTTATTAAAGTAAAGAAAATAATATAAAGAATATATAAAAAAAAAAAATATATATATTTTTAATATTATTCCTTTGTATGTACAATTATGACAGTGTTATATTATATATATATACATAATGTATACATTTTTTTTTTTAATTCAGGCAAGTTCCTTTTTATTCTTCTGAAGTTTTATTTGAATTATTTTATAAAAAAACTAACTTACTTCAACATATAGCAATCGTAATGAAATAATATAAATTTGTCTTTTTTTTTTTTTTTCATTTTAATTTTTTTAAAAATTATGTATACATATTCATTTAATTTTTTGTTTAAATATAATTTTTTTGCTTTTTTAAAAGTGTTTATTTTATTTTTTTCATTATTATTAATTTTGTTAATAATTTTTATATATTTTTATTTTTTCTATTATTACATTTTTTTTTTTTTTTTTTTTTTTTTTTGTAGGGAGATTTTTTAAATGAGTTGTATTCAATAAGCCAAAAATAGCACATTATTATAATTAATATTAAAATATTAATAATTTTTTTTTTTTAATAATTATTGTTCTTGAAACATCTTTGAATTTAATTATTTCATTTTATTTCATTTTATTTTATTTTTTTTCTACTTAATATTTTAATTTTTTTAACTTTTATTACATTTCTTTTTTTTTTTTTTTTTTTAAATTAGAAATTTTTAATATACACCTTTGAACTTTTAAAAGTTTGTATACTTCACAATGAGTTTTTTAAATGTAATAAAAATGTTAAAATAAATAAAAATACTAATATATATTTTACATAGTAATTATTATGTATTTTATGAAAAATAAATGTTGTAATATTATGAATATTTTTTGCAAAGGGTTAAAAGAATATAAATAAAAAAAAAAAAAAATATTGTCAGCATAATTATGAATGCCATTATTTTCTTTTTAGAGATATTCATATTTTTTTAATATATTTTGGATTACTTTTTTTTTTGAGCTTATTTATATTTTGCAGCTAAACGTGCGCATGCTTCTAATGATATTTTAATCATTTTTTCTAATTTTTCAGGAATTAAATTATTATCAAAATCACCTTCATCCCATTTTAATGGACATCCATCAACAATAAAAATTCCTCCAGTTTTAATTTTTCTTAAACTTCCGATGACCATTAAAGTAGCTACTTCCATTTCTACAACAGCTACATTTGCTTTTGCATAATCTTCTAATCTTGAAGGAATAATTTTATTTGGGTAATATAAATCTGTAGATAAACTAATACCATTAAAAACATGTTCATTTAATTCTTCAGCGCATTTATTTAAGGTCTCATAAACTTCAAAATCTCCTACAGCAGGAAAATCTGCATGCACTAACAAATGAGAAACTCTATCTTCTCTAACAGCTGCATTACATATACATATGTCTCCTCTTTTCATTTCTTGTGGTTGAAGAGTCCCACAAGATCCTGCTCTTATTATAACTTTTGCCCCGTTTTGAATTAATTCTTCAAAACATATTGCACAACCAGAAGATCCTACACCATGACTTACACATAAAAATTTCTGACCTTTATAGTGACATTCAACACTCTTATATTCTCTGTTATAAGTCAAATCTACATAAGAATCACATAATAACTTCACTTTATCAACCCTACCAGGATCTCCCACAACTAAAATAACTGGGGTTGTTTGTTTTTCAGTTAATTTTATATGCCTTTGAGTATCTGTCATTTTATTCAAATATTTAAAGATATAATAAAGTGTTTATAATTTTTTTTTATTTCAAAGAAAAAAACAAAAAAAAAAAAAAAATAAAAATAAAAAATAGGATACCAATAAATAAATTGAATTCTATAAATGATAATTGAAGAAAAAAAACATAAACTTATATAAAAAAAAAAAATATTAAAAGAATACAAACTTTTTTTGAGGGAAATAAAACATTAATTTATATAAAAAAAAAAATATTAATAGAATACAAACTTTTTTTGAGGGAAATAAAATATTAACTTATATAAAAAAAAAAATATTAAAAGAATACAAACTTTTTTTGAGGGAAATAAAACATTAACTTATATAAAATGGTTGTAGGGAATATGAAAAAAAAAAAAAAAAAAAAAAATTAAACATATAAAATAGCTGTTATAATAATTGTAAATAAAAAAATAATTATATTACATATTATAAAAAAGAAAAAAAAAAAAAAATATATATATATGTATGTATATATAATTGAAGAAACAGAAATATGTTTTAGGTAAACAGTATTATGAAGTATACAAACTTTTTTTTTAAATAAATTGTATGTTATTTAATTCTTGAAAAATAATTTCAATTAAAATTATAAAAAAAAAAATTTTTAAATTGTTACAAGTTTTTAAGAATGAAAAAAAAAGAAAACAAAATGTTATGACGCTATGCATACCAAAAGAATAACCGATTATGAATGCATACATATATTTTTCCATAGATCTCTATAAAAATTTTTTTTTTTTTTTTTTTTTTTTTTTTTTTATTCTGCCCATTTTTATTATGGTAATAATAAATAATAAACTCTTTCGTATATATTTCCTGGAAATTAGATCAACTATAAATAAATATATATGTATTTATATAAGTAGTTAGTTTTTTTTTTTTTTTTTTTTTTTTTTTTTTTTTTTTTTTTTTTTTTTTTTTTTTTTTCTGTGGGTGTCAGGTTAAAATTTATGAATTTTTATCTATTTTCTTTATAAAGTTTCATTTTATATTTTGTTCTATGATGTATTACAGGTTTTTTTTCAATACATTAAACATAAATATAAGGTCATAAATTTACAAGTGACTATATGTTTTTAAAAAATAATATTCGTAATTATTGAGCCTTATTTTTATATAAAATGCTCTGTTTTACTTAAAATGTTGTATATTTGTTTCAAATATATTATTATTTTTAAATACACTTCGTTTTATAAACCAATGTATATATTTTATTTTTAAATCAAATTTTATGTTTTATTATAAAATTATATGCCATTATTATACAACATGCTTACATATAGTATGTCCTAGCTTTTTATAATTTTCTAATTCAACTACTATTTAAGATTGTAATATTAAAAAATTTTTTTTTGTAATTTTTAGAAGTTATCAGTTTAAAAAAATTTAACTTTCTTTTTTTTTTTCGAAAGATAATTTATTAAAAAAAATTTCGTAAAACTTATGAACAACGAAAAAAATATTGAGTAATTAAAAGTTTATGTAAAAATATATATATATATATATGAATAGAGAGAGATAAAAAATACAAGATATAATATAAATATTTTTTTTCAATATTTCATGAATTTTTTAATTTTTGTGAATTTAAGTTATCCAATGCTATTAAACTTAGATTTGCTCTTAATTCTTGAATACCGAAACATTTCAAACTTGATACATTATGCAAATATTCATTTATATTAAATTCATAAATTTCCTTATCAAAATTATTATTTTTTTTGTAAGCATTCTCATTGAATAAATTTACTTTTTTTTTATAATTATCTATTACAGAAAGGACCTTAATCATTAAATTATGTAATTCATTAGCCTACAAAAAAAAAAAAAAAAAAAAAAAAAAAAAAAGATATTTCCGTGCTATTATTAAAGATGTTATATAGCTCAAATTCATATTTGAAATTAATAGAATTTATAATAAAATTCATTATATATTTTTACTTTCAATTTGTCAATTTTTGTAATTATAATTTGAAATGGAATCTTCTTAGTTATTAGCATATCTAATAAAATAAAATCGTATGTGCTAAATAACTCAGTGCATTCAATCAAGCATAAAGCACGCTTTAAATTTTTTGCTCTATTTAAATATTCTTCAATTAAAATAGACCAATTATCACGCAGGTCTTTTGAAACTTTTGCATAACCATAACCAGGCAAATCAACAATAGATAGATAGTTTAATAAATTAAAAATAAATAAGTGTCTAGTTCTCCCCTAAACAAAATTTTTTTTATTTAAAATGTTATTTTTAAAAAAATAAAAAAATATTTTAATTTATCTATTATATTTTATTTTTTAAAGATATTAATTTCTTTTTTATAAGTATATATACACATATAGCATTTCTACATTTTTCTTATGTAACTATTTTTTTTTTTATTTTATTTACAGGTGTTTTAGATGCTTGAGCCACTTCTCTAAAATTTAGTAGAGCATTTATTAAACTTGATTTACCAACATTTGATCTTCCAAATATAGCAATCTATATTTTTTTTTGAAATATTTATAAATGTTTTCTTTTACATAAAAAAAAAAAAAAAAATAGTTAAACGTTATTAAAAAGATGCAATTTTTTTATAATATACTTGAGGAATATTTGTTGGTTTATATTTGTGAATTGTTTGAGCTACATAAACTGGATAAGCAATTATCTTTGAACTAAATATTATATTAGATTTTTTTATCTATAATAAGTATAATAAAAATACATATATATATATATATGTATTTAATTAAAATTTAATTAATGCTATATTTTTTATTATATGAGTATTATAAAAGAAGAAAAATGATATCATGAGTCTTATGCAATATCTAATTATGCATTTTTTTTTTTTTCTATTATTTTTTAAATAATTCATATTTTATATATACATGTTCATAATTTAACCAATAGGGTGATTCTTCTGTGTTTAAAAAGTTTATATTAATAAATGGCTTAGCTAAATATGGTGTTACTAAGATTAAACCAGAAATAACAAAAAAAAAAAAAAAAAATGTATAAATATTAAATTATGGATGTAATATAAAGAAATATGTTATTTTTATTTTATTTTTTTTTTTTTTAAAAAATAAATATTTTAAGAATTCACTAATTTTGGTAATATAAGTAAAAATTAAAAGTTTTTTTCTATTTTTACTGATACTTTTTGTAGATTTTTCGTTTTTTAAAAGGAAACATTTTGACATACTTATCATTTTAAAAACTTACTAGGCTTAAAAAAAAAATTAAAAAAAACAAAAAAAAATATGTAAAAAAAAAAAAAAAAAACTATTCCATAAAAAGTAAATTAAATTTTAAATAATATACAATTCTAAATTAAAAAATATAGAAATTTTCGATAATTTACAAAAAAAAAAAAATTTTTTTTCTAAAGAAGGTATAAATTTTCAATAAAAAATTTCCATTAAAAATAAATTTAATCTTAAAAAAAAAAAAAAATTATAAATGCTGTTGTTATTTATATTTTAAAATAAGTTTACTATTTTTTATTCATATTTTTATTTTATATTTTCATAATTTTTTTTTTTTTAATAATGGCAAAATATGATCTTGAAAAATATTAAATGATTTTAGTTTTTTGAAGAATAGCAACAATTCTTTCTTTTATTTCTTTTTTTTTATTTAATTGGAAAAATTTTTTAAAATAAATTTAAAAATGTTACCTTTTAGACCATTAAGCCAATTTGTTTTTCAGTTTTTGATTGTAACTTCAACAGCACTGAGCAAAGCGTTTATACAAGTAATCTTAATTTAGAGACAAAAATATATTTGTATATATATATTTTTAGGGAGAGTTAAAATATTTATAAATTTATTTTCATGATATAACATTATGTGGGGATATTATAGATTTTATATGTAAAATACAATAGCTTTTTTTTTTTTTTTTTTGAAATCTATATGAAAAATAATTATTTATAAAATTTAAAATTATAATTTTGTTTTAATTATTTACTAATAAATAAATAAATAAATAAATAAATATATATATATATATATATATATATATATATATATATATATATATATATATATATATTATACATACAAGTTTAACATCTGTTTTTTTTAACATATTCTTAAACATAAATATATATATGTGAATATATTTTTTACTATTTAAAATTCTTTAGGCATACAAGGAAATTATTAAGAACAAAAAAAACACAAATTTCATAAAAGAAAAGTACAATACTTGCATGAATGTTGAAGAAGCTTTAAATATATTAAATTTAGATAAAAATAAAATATATAAAAATTTAAATAAAGAGGAATTAATGTCTTTAAAAGAAGAAATAAATAATAGGCACCTCATTCTACACAAATTAAATGAGAAAAGTGGACCATATAATGGTTCAGCATATATACAGAAAAAGGCAAAAGTTGCTAAAGATATTTTATTTCAGCATTTAAAATTGCAATAAAAATGTTGTCATTGTATTTGGTTTTTTTTTTTTTTTTTTTTTGTTTTCCATATATGTGTATATAGACATAATTTTTTTGATCATTTAAATTATTAATTTTGTAACAAAATTAAAATTTCTAAATTTTTTCCATATATTCTTTTTAAAAAAAGTAAAATTAATAGTAACATTTGTCTTGTATAAATTTAATATATGTATTATATATATAATTTTGTATATAAAATTAATATGCATATATATATATCCATATATATATATATGTGATGTATAATTTATTAAAATAGTATCAGAATAAAATTTAAATAATTACTTAAAATAAAAAAAATTACAAAGTTAAAAGATATAGTATATATATATTTTTATTTTATTTTTTTCATTAATGTATTAATCTTTAAATTAAGTTTTTATGTTTGTATTTTAACAACATTTATTCTTTACCTTTTTTTTTTTTCCCAATTTTTTAAAAAAACAATTTGAACTTACAAATATGACATATATGAATTTAAAATAGTATTTTTAATATCAATATTATAAGTATCATTTTTTTTTTTTTATATATTTTTTTTTTTTTTTTCTTCGTTAATAATGGAATTATTTTTTCTTTTTTTTAGATAATTTACAAAAGTTATAGTTGGTATTTTTTGTACAGTTAATGCATTTTCTTTACCTTTTGGATATTTTGACATGTACATATTAATGTCAAATTTTCTTTTACATCCATTATAATTCATAAATCTAACTTTTCCGAAAATGTTTCTTTCATTCCAACCTTGATCATGCACACCCATAATGGACCACATAACTCCGACATATCCATTAGGACTCTTTCCATCAATTGCAAAATCATCATTTATTTTAATGGCATATTTTAAAGCAGTTTTAGAATTTTCTGACCAATTCAATATTTTTTTTGCCCAATACATTCTTAAATATCCATGAATAATTCCTTCTTTAATCAATTGTAGCTGACAACAGTTCCATATATCATTATGAGTTTTAGCATTTTTAAAATCATCATAATCATATAAATATTCTCTTTTGTCCGAATCATGCTTTCTTAAACTTTCTTTTGCCCAACTTTTCCCTCCGTTAAAATTATCATAATTTTTATTATAATAACAAAAATTATCAGCTAATTCCTTTCTTATTATTATTTCTTCATTAAAAGATTCCTTTCCACTTACTGTATTTATGGATGGATTACTGTGTGCATACTTATTAACTTCGAGTACACACCTGAAAAATGGAGAAATAGTAACATAAAAATTTTCAGGAAAAGAATGATATAAAAAATGTGTTAATGCAATTATTGAAAAAAAGAGATAAAAAAAAAAAAAAAAAAAAAACTATTAAGTTATATAGTGGAAACAGAAAATATATATATACAAAAAAAAAAAAAGATAAGGAATAAAAATATTGTAATTGTTAAGAAAAATAAAAAGAATAATATTATAATATTTTCAATTTAAATATATTTTTTATATTACCTTTGAGAAGATATAATTCCAAAATTCAAATAAGGTGAGAGTTGACTGTTTGAGTTACCATTAGGGTCATTTCTCTTTAAATTATATTTATCTAACTTTTTTTTACAAAAATTGTCTAAAATTTCACGCGCTTTTTTTTCAGTGCATATAAAATTTGATAAAATGGGACAAGAATTATATACAACTAGCTTTTTAATTATATCATCAATTTCAAATGGTTCTGGATACTTTACATTTTGTTCAAAAGATTCTAATTTTATATATTCTGTTAAAAACGTGGGTAAATGCATTTTAATTTTTGGTCTTATAGTTCTAGCAGAATATTCTTCAACTTTAGATGTAACCCATAGAGGAACAATATTATGTGAGTCTACTTGAAAAACTTTGATTTTTTTTTTGTTAGATAAATGCACTAGGTTTTCAATAAAAAGTTTTTGCTCTGCTAAAGGATGAAAATCACAAATAATGGTATTGATTTCATGAATCCTTAAAAATTCCATAAATTCATCTATCATATATATAGTTAAAAGATAGAATGGAATATTTAATTTTTTAAAACTTTCTTCTAAATTTTTTAATACTTTTAATTTTATATCTATGTATCTTTCTGGGAATTCTTCTTTTCTATTTAAATATGTACAAGCTAATAAATTATTTTTTTTTTTTTTTGCAATTTCATAAGCATATATAAGAGCCCAATTATCATTTACTCTAAAATCTCTAGTTAATAATAATAAAATATTTTTTTTATTATTTTGTTCTGTATTTTCTAAATCTTTAGCATTTTCAAAAGAGGTTAAACATCTTACTCTTTTTATCAAAGTACTTAACTTACTTTCCATACATGTTTCAAATGGATTTTTTTTTTTTTTTTCATCACTGTGTATGTTATTTTCTTTATCTTGAGGTATAACTGAGGAAAAAGTTTGTTTATGTTTTCTATTTAAGTCATTTATTTTTTCTTTTTTAAAACATTTTATTATATTTTTTGTGTTGCATTTTATTTCATTATTACATTTAGTTTTATTTTTTGTTTTATTATATATATTACTGTTAACATTTGATATTTCATTAATCATTTTTATGGAATTGTTATTCTTTGATTGCTTATTTTCTTTATTCAATTTTTCGTTTGATATTTCTTCTTTTATATTTATTTTTAGTATTTCGTCATTTGAGTTTTCTTGTGATAATATTTTATTTAAGTTTCCATTTAATAAATTTTCATTTATATTTTTTTCATTTAATAAGTTATTTTTTAGTATTTTTATTTCATTTAATTTGTTTTCTTCTTTTTGATCAAATAATACTTCCTTTTTTTTAGAATCATATTTTATTAATTCTGTTTTATCTTTATCATTTATCATTGTTACATTTTTATGACTCATTTTTTTTTTTAAAAGTGAGTGGTATTGTTTGTTAAAATCAAATTTTATGTGTTTTTTTTTTAAAAAATGGGAATAAAAACAATTGTTACAAAAGCCATAACTTTTTTTAAAATATATATTTTTTTTAATATGATTGTAAGTCAATAAATAGGCATTTGAATTTTTATATGAATTAAAATAATTTTTATTTGAAGATTTTTTTAAATAAAAAGAAACGAATATATAATATAAACAAAAAAAGAAATTTGAATTGAACATTACCTATACATATATACAAATATATATCTAAAAATATGAATATTAAAGTTGTTCAGACAATTCAAATTTTTTATTTCTTATTTATGCTTCTTTTCATTACTTTCTAGAAATCATAATAATAAGAAAAATATATATATACATAGCTTATTAAATTTTTTTAAAAGAAAAAATAAAATAATGAAAAATTTGACGACTATATCAAACCAATATGAATTGTAAAAAACTGTTTTTACTATTTTACAAATCAAATATTTTCTTACATTTAAAATATTATGTATTCCAAATAAAAAAAAAAAAAAAAAAAAAAAAAATAATAGTAAGAAATAACTTAAAGAAATAATTAAATTTTAATTTAATATTAAAATCATATTAAAAAATTTCATAATAAAAAAAAAAAAAAAATATCAATATTTAGTTTTCTAAATAACCATACTGAAAATATTAGCACATAAAAAAAAATTTTCTTTTTATATGCAAAATTCAAATAAAAGAATAATTTCTTTCAAAATTCTTTTTGTAACACATTTTTAATAATTATATATAATAAAAATTTTGAAACGTTCTATTTTATTGAAATTTTCAATAGAAAAATAACACATGTAAACTACAAGATTATATAGTTAAATATACATAAGGAAAACTATACAAAAAAGGATATGTTTGTTAAAGATTTAAAAAAAAAAATAAAAGGAAGTAATTGTCCTAATTATAATTATGGTTTTAAATTTGATATTCCTTCAACTTACATTTTAATATTTTCATTAGAAATTGCTAATTATAAATTTAATATTTTCGTCTATATTTATTGAGAAATTTCCTATTTCTCTTTTTTCCATAATATTTGATAAAACATGAAAAAAAATAATATTTTTTATACATTTTTTAAATATGTAAACTATGGATGAAAATATAAAAAATTAATTTTTCATTGAAAAAAGACTTATAATTAATCTCGTCTAACTGTTATTACATATATAAAATTATAAAATAAATAGATGATTTCATAGAAATTATATTTTTGAATATTTCATAAGGATTAAAGAACTTTTCTTTTATTTTTAATACTTAATATCTCTTAACTGCTATATATATTAACTCATGATTATATGTTTATATTAAGTGTAAAAAATATTTCAAATAAAATCACATAAAAACACAAATTTATAAATAAAAAAATTTAATTTTATTTTACCATTTATAATATAAATATATAAAAATACTATTTAGGAAAAAAAAAAAAAAAAAAAAAAAGTAAAATTGTTTTAAATATGTTTTTTTCTAATTATATATTATTAAAGAAAAAATAAAATAAATATTTATTAATAGCAAAAAATTGTCTTAAATATAGAAAATGCATTTTTATACGTTTACTTACCAAGTTATTTATTTGTTTTTTCATTCAATTGTTTATATATATATATATATATATATTACATTTTCTATAATTATTTTTCTAACAGCAAAAAAAATTAAACTTTGCATAACTATAAAATGTTTAAAAAAAAAAAAGCTATAAAACAAATATTATGAAATAAATATACAAACTATATATTTTTATTTTGTCTAAAGAAAACAAAAAAAAATATAAAACTATATTTGGTTTCCATGTAAAAGTTATATGAATTTTAAATTCTTTCATAATATATGAAAGTAAAATGTTCTCAAGTGTGGTAATTTTTATATAAATTAACCTTAAAGCAAAAAAAAAAAAAAATATTTTAAAATAAAAAAGTACTATTATTTTTCCAATAAAGTATTAAAATATAAAACATTTTATAAAAAAAATTGTTGGTCCTTACAAATAAATTTTTATAAAATAGAAAGTAAATTATAATAAGATGAAACAATAAGACTTCAAATAATTATATTTTTTCCTATATAATAGGAATTATTATTTTTTTTTTTTTTTAATATACTAATTTTACTAATTTACTCTTTCATATATTTTATATTTTCTATTATTTAATTTTTATTTTTTGTTGCATCTTACATTTTATTTCTGTAATTTCTAAATTATTTACTTTTATCATATTGTATTTGTATCTTTTTTTTTTTTTCCTTTAGTAAATTTTTATAAAAATTTTTTAGTAAACTTAGAATTTTCCTTCATAAAATTCCATTATGAACCTTAAGTATATGTTGAAATTTAAATTATTAATTTACAGAAATATCTATTTATAGTCATTTTATTTTTTATAAAAAAAAGATTCATGTAAAACATTTTTATTCATATAAACAAATTTTAGGTGTGTAAAAATTTCTAACTAAACTTTAAATGAAAAACATTTAAGTAAATAGATATAGAAAAAATGTTTAGTAAAAAACCTCAAAAAATAAAAAAAAATTTTATGTGTATAGCTTTTCTCAATAAAAAAAAAATTATAGTTGTAACTAGTTTTTTATTTTAATTTATAATTTTTTCTAAAAAAAATTACTTTTATTTTCAATAGCTATACATATATAAAAAGGTTTGGAAATGATTTATGATAAATCATGGTTTGGTGTATTCGTTATAGTTTTAAAAAAAAAAAAAAAAAAAAGTATAAAAATTCAATGAAATATATGATATTAAATTAAAAAAAAGAAACATTATATTAATAGAACCTTAGTAAATAGAAAAAATAAAGTAAAAAAAAAAAAAAATTAACTAAAAAATAAAAAAAAAAAAAAAAGATAATTTAATTGAAAGAAACACATGTTTGTTCTATTTAAATAATTATGTTGCAAATGACAATATAATCATACAACTAGTTAAATCTAATGATTCAATTTTTTATTTATTATTATTTTTTTTTTTAATATAAAAGAAAAAGAAAAAAAAAATTTCAAACATATGTCTTTAACATTTGCAAATGCTACAAAGATAAATTTTTTTTTTTTTTTATTATTTATCTACATTAATAATTACATGTTTTTATTTTTATAAAAATGATAACTCTAAAAAAAATATTTTACTTTTTTTATTTGACTTATATAATAGTCAAAAAAGTGGAAGGCTTAGATAATAGTGTTGTGAATTATGATAATTATACTTTATATCAATTTGGAAATTGTATGAAACAACAATATATATACTTTCTTGAAAGTATATACAAATTATGTTATTTGTGGAAAACTATAGATGAAAAAACCGTTTCTAAAATATTAGTTCAAAAAGGTAAAGATAGTTCTTGGGAAGTTAAATCAGAACTAATTTATAGGAATAAGGATTTGAGTTCTTTGTATTTTAGTTATGTACTTAATAAAGAATTAATAGTTTTAATGTGTTATTCGAATTTTCAATTAAGAAAATATGAATGTGTTCGTTCAGTAAGTCATAATGGTATTAAATTTAATACAACGGATACAAGTTTTTCTAGTGATCCGCATAGTGATTCTTCAATGGATAATTATTCTTCATTACCTTTTAATTTTTCTGGAGTAAATTATTTATTAATATGTTCTTTGAATAAAAATCCATCTCGAGATGGAAGTCTCAAATTATTTATTACATGTAGTGGTAGCAAAGATAAAGGAATAACATGGAAGTAAAAACTAAAAAAAAAAAAAATACTTTTTAATTTTTTTATAAATTATTTTATAAAATAATTACATATAAATTGTTCATAATTATATAAATGCATATGTATATATATATATATATATATATATTTTTTTTTTCAGAACAATTTTCCGATTTTATTATTCTAGTGACTCATCTTTTAAATATTATAAATTAGCACCTAGAATAAGCGAAGGTTCAATAGGTTTTCAATATGTTAAACATAATAATAGCACATGGACCCATGAGTATATTGAATGTAATCATAGAAAAGATTATGATTTTGAATGTAAAAATATAGATTTACAAAAAAAAAATAAAGTTTTACAAATAGCTTTGAAAGTAGGTAATTATTATGTTTCTAGTTATATGGGTAAAAATAATTATTTGTGTTACTTATATTATACATCCGATAATATTGTTTTAATAAAAACAAAAATTAATAAAAATAAAAAAGGTGATTGTAATCCTCGAGATCTTATTATGGTGGATGATTCTAAGGTCGTGTTAGTATATGCTGACGGAATGAATATAGATGGTTTCAGCACATATCGTTTTATTAATAATTAAAAGAGTTATTTATACTGCACATATAAATAAGAAAAGATGAATTTATTTTTATTAATACAATATATTATATATTTTCATATTATTTATTATGATAAATTAGTCAATAGGAATAATAAATTGTTTTTATCTTTATAGAAAGAACAAAATAAGTAAAAAAAAAAAAAAAAAAACTTATATTTAAATTTTTTTTAATATTTTTTAAACAACATAGTATCATTATGAAAATATATTATAAAATGAAAGCAAAATATACAAATCATGTAATTTTCTCCTATGCAAAATATAGAAGATTATTTTTTTTTGAAAATATATAAATACAATAAAATTTTGCTTATCATTTCATAATAAAACTATAACTGATGTTTATTCATGTAAAATCTGTAGTATTTTTTTTTTTTTTTTGTTATAATTGAAGTTATGCTTTAATTATTTCATTATTTGTATAAATTACATTCTATTTTCATTAAAAAAAATGCTTTTGTAATATTAAAATATTTAAAAACTTAAGATAAATGATACAGTATACCATTATTTTTAAACTTCGCTTTTTACATTAAGAATTAGTTACATAATATTTTTTTGTTTTTTTTGTTTCTTTTTTTTTTTATTACATTTGTGTTTTTTATTTAAAAAAAAGATGTTTTTTTTCTTTAAGTTGGCAGTATGCTCATATGGTAACTTAAACTTTTAAAAATATAATAATCCTTATAAAAAGTATACAACAATACAATGGAAGTGAGAACAAAAATTTATTTTAAATTGTATAAGGATGAGAAATTTAATTCAAAATTAATTTCATATTTTAAAAAATAATTAAATAACTATATTTTTTTAATAATTTTTAAGATAATGAAAGAAAAATAATTTTAAATTAATTATTAAGGAAATGATGAATTTATAAAAAATTTTGCATCTAAAGAAAAATTAAAAATTTTTATATTAAAGAATGTATTTTAATATTCGAAAAATCGTTTATTGATATTATTCAAAAATGTACATAATGATTTATATATTAATGCCGTTTCTGTAGCAAATTTTATGAAATTATTTTCACAATATAAAATTTACAAATTTTTATCTTTTTTCTTATATTGTTTTTAGCATAATCATAAATCTTCATTAAAATGTTATCTTTAAAAAATTTTTACCCATTTTTATAAGGAAAAAAATTTTTAAATTATTTAATATATATATATATATATATATATATATATATATATAGAATAATTCTAATATGATATTTTATTTAACAAAAAAAACAACAATAAATATAAAATTTTTCATTATTATAATTATTATACATATCATATAAAATTTTAAAAGAAATATTTCTTATCTGATTGTACCTAAAATAATAACTGTTTTTAATTTATTTAATATACATATTTTTCTAATTTTTTTATATATTACATTTCATTCATAATTATTTATTATTTTTTTTTTTTTTTTATTTATTTGTTTATACATCAACTTTCATTTATGTTTTCCAATAATATTTAATAATAAATATTATTACAAGAACATAAAGATTAAATATATAGTAATATTTAAAATAAGACATCAATTATTCAATAATCTGAGAAAAAAAAAAAAAAAAACTTACGTGTGTAATGGAAATCTTTAAGAAAGATGTTCAGATAAAAAGAAAATTATATATATATATATAAAAATTTGGAGAAATGGAAACTTATATTTTTATTTCCTAATTTCCATTAGCAAAAATTGCTATAATTTTTAATTAGAATATATGTTGTAAAAATATTCATAAAATCGAATATTTATCTTACAGTTAAAAAAAAAGAAACGAATGAAAAAAAAATGAACACAATTCCATATACAACAAAAATGAAATTAAAAAAATGATAAAAGGAAATAACACATATCTAAGTTATATCAAGTATAAAAAAAAAAAAATAAAAAACTCTATATGAAAAAATCTTATACTTATTTGTTGAACTTTTCACTTTTTTTAAAGAACTATAAAATATAAATATATTTCTGTGTAATATATTCTATTATTTAATAAAATTTTTTGAAGTGTAAAATTAAATGTAAGAATTTTTAGAACATTTTTTTTTTTTTTTTTTTTTTTTTTTTGTA